GAGATACACAGTGAAATGAAACTATTGAAGTCCATGGCTTGAGTTGCATATATAAGAGTAATAATGATGAAGATGATGATGACTTAAAAAAACAAAACAAAAAACTCACATTTTAAACAGTAGGTGTTTGCATATCTGTGTACACAAAAAACTGAGCAGGTCTTTAGAGAGACTGGATTTACCTGTTTGGAAGACTGAGAGCAAGAACACAGCTGAACCCACATAAACAAAGAGAGGCCTCTTTTGAACACTCAGTCATTAGGTTGTCAAAGCAGTGTGTGTGTTACTTGTATGCCTTTGTGTTGAGTTCCAAGGAAATAAAGTTGTGTCTCTGTATGTTGTTCTTAGGAAGGAACGAAGAACCAAGACAAATGAATATGAATAAGAATAAAAATATAGACTAGTTTGCCAAGTCACAGTGTCTCACCAAACTGCTTCTAGTTATCTTCAGAGTTTATCGACCCACTGAGACTTGCTGCCTGTACTCTATCATAGTAGCTTCGCTGTGAAATGGATAGCTCAAATCAATGAATGGAATGACTTTATTGTATTTCCATCCAAATTGATTTTGATTTAGAGGAGGAGTACCTGGGTAGAAATTCTATAAATTTACCAACTTGTTGTTCAGACAAATTTCAACACAACCTGACACCCACAAAAGAACAGATACTCAGAAAGGCTACAGGTGGATGTACACATTTGTGTTTGTACTTTACTCTCTCCTGCATTTGTGTAGGTAGATGATGAGTCTAACAGTAGAACAAATGCACACATATAAAAGTTTCTTTCATTTAGTAGATACTGCAGTTTAAATATAATGTAAGTTATTGTTTCATTTCTATGTATTTTTAATTGAGTGCTGTTTACATTGTTAACTGCAGGAAGCAGGGGGTGGGGTGGGGGTGTACTTTTATAGTTAAACGTACTCCTACAAGAGTAAAGCAGCTGGCTAGCTGGACCTTTCCCACCACTACACACCTCTTATTAAACCCTCTTTCCATTCTCAGAATGGGATTTGCTTGCTGGGAGAGAGGAGGGATACTTAATCCATTCTTCCACTGCTAGTCACCTGCGTTGGACATGAAAGATAATGATATCCTGTACTCTTCAGTCCCCTCCCTACTCTCCTCTCCTTTCCCCTTTTCTCCACTCATCTCCTCTACTCTCCTAGTCCCCCGTTGTAATTATTTTGCTCCCATTTTCCTCTTTATGTGTTGTTCTTTCATACTTGTTTCATATTGTACACAGTGCAAAGGGTATTTTCCTCTTTTTTTTTTATCTGTCATAAAGTTCACATGACTTTTTAGGAAATCATTATGTTTTCAGACTTAAGAGAGCTGATGTCTGCAAAACTAAGACTTGAGGTTGCAAAAGAGAAGCACGGAAAAGCTCTCAAAATGTTTAAGACTGCTGCCAATTGGTCCGAGTTGATAAAAACATCCTTTGTAGCAGCTGATATCTTACCCTGATTGCGACCCACCTCTGTCACAGTCTGTCCTGTTACTCACATTCACTTCTCCCTCCCGTCTGAATCAGTCAACCCTTTCTGTACCCCTCCGGTCCATTTTCTTTGGCTTCCTCCTTCACATTTGTCTAATGGAGGGATCGTTTTAATGGATTGCCCAAAGCAGCAGAGAGGCGGACAATCCTGCCACTCTACCTCTACCCCTCCACTCCACTCCTGTCCTCTCCATCCTTCTGTCTGTAACAGAAGTGGAAACATGCACTCTGTTTTTTTTTGCTTTCCTTTGTCTTGTCGCCCAGGCAACCCCCTCTAGTTTGAAGAGAAACTCTTTCACTTGGATTGACCAAGTAGCAGGGGTTCCCTGCTACTCTGTCACTCCAAATAAACAACAAAGCAGTCACTTTGGTCAGCAAGAGAGGATCCTTGGAATAGGGGAAAGTGACCTTAAATTAGCTCAGAATCTAAGGGAAAGGGCTCTGATCTGGTTTGGAAAAAAGGTGCTTCTGAGACTAAGTGTAAGAGAGAATGCCAAAGGGTCACTTAACTCCTGAAGAAAGGTCAGTATGAGGAGAGAAGAAGGAAGCCAATGAGTGAGCAAAAACTGCAATAGCTGGTTAAAAAACAAGTCAGTGGTGGGAATTTGTAGTCATAGGACTGCATTAAGCAAGTACAGTGAACGAGTTTTAGGAAGGTCAGTTGCAGGCAGGGGATGAGGAACGGGAAGATGATTAGGCTGAGACCAGGCAGTGATAACAAAAGGAAGATGTGAACAAATATAAGGAAGAGGGCTGGTGAAGAAACGTAGCACGTCAGGGGTGTGGCCATAAGCAAAGCATAGACAGGAAGCATGTCTTTCTTGCACAAAGCAGTTGAGTGTGCAACCTGAGAGGAGGTGTGGATACTGAAAAAGTGTTGGAGGCATGAAGAGGCCAGAACAGTTGACTGAAGTCAAGACAAGCACTAACTTTGGGAATGTGGGTAAAGGTATGTGTCAGGAAGGAATGGATGGTGAGTGAATTAAGGAGGAGGATGGGAGGGAGGCATACTTTGCTCCTGGTGTTTGCATGTTGGCCTTCTGTTGCTTTCAGTTTAATTGCATATGTCCTCTGGATGTACCTTTTTGTTATATCATGGCTGCAAGCCTGTGTTTCCCCTTTTGTTGCGAGAAATATCCTCTTTTGTAAAATTCTTTTCCCGCTCATGTAACCCTTTCTCAGTAAGCTGCTGGGAAATGGCATATTATGTCAAGTTGTACTTTTTAAGTACTATGATAGGGCCACCATTAACCCTTAGCACAAGTATAAACCCAACCAACTTCATACAGAATAGAATAATCCTTTAATTGTCCTACAAGGGGAAATTTGGGTGTAATACAACTTCATGTATACAACTTCATGATTTATATTTTCTTATTCTCGCCTTTGGAAATTTCTTTTTAATCTCAAATAGCTTCTGTTGCAATTCTGTGCCTCAACAGTTGAGTATCCTTATCTTTGTTGAGCATTTCAACACTACCCCTCATTGTGTCCTTCTCCTTTTCCACCTCTGTTTGTCTTTGTTTTCACTGCTTTAACCAAGACTGCTCATTTACATGAACTGAATATTTTAATCTGCATAGTTGTAGATTGAAGTAGTAAGTTTGCTTTGGATGTTTTGTAAAGTGTAACTATAAGAAAACCCTTCCCACCCCCAAACCTCATGTGCAGGATAATCCACTTCTCTGCTGTCCACACATATGCTGAGTGTTTTCCAAACATTCATCATTTTGCCAACATATGGCTAAAAGGCTACATCCATTGAAAATTCAGCGCTTCGTGGAGCGGTATTTTGGCAAACAGGAACTGTTTAAACATACTGTGCATACAGATGGGCAGCAGAGAGGTGGAACACGCTGTAGGGATGGTAGAGAAGAGTCATTAAGATATTTCAGTGAACTATAAGCTTCTGTCTGTGTTTGTTTTGATAGCCTTTCCTGCCACCTCTCAAGCTCTCAGGGGTGAAAAAAAAAACTTAAAAAAAAAAAGGGAAATTGGGTTTTGTTTTTGGTATAAA